ACCTGAACATGGTTTGGGAAGGTAGTGTTTTTGTCATACAAGGGCTCCTTATTCTGCCCCTGGTTTAGGTTTGGTTTGGAAGGGAAGGATATGTAATGTACCACACACCTTCAGGCTCAATGTACCTCACACTCCTTTCACTGAAGGGTTTGGGGAAGGAGATGAAGCTGTGTGATTTTTCACTGGTTGACCTCTCTGACACCTTATAGGGTGCTTTGTGATGGTAGGAAGATTAGTGGGACCCCAGAACAGAGCTCAGAGGAGCAGAGGCCCTCTTCACATCCTCCCTTGACAGCCTTCATTTGTCTATTGCCCTGATTATTTCGGCCATTTTTCAGACTCTGGATAGGGTACTCACCCTATTCTAGATAGATTTGAGTGGAGGAGTGATGCTTTAGGTTAGCTTCTGCAGCTCTGGATATAAAGAAGAATATTGGGTCACAGAGAATCAGGCAGGAGACAAGAGTGAATATTTCTGTCTTACCTCGAGTGGAAGGTGGTATCTGGTTGGGGGCCTGGGTTTGCAGTTGCCCCAGTCTTATTTATTCCCATCTTCCTTTGAATTCCAGGTTCTAGGAATAGGGTTAAGGGAGGGGATGAGCTGAGTTTCAGGAAAGAAGGAAGGAACAGACTTCCATGCCCAAAATCCATGCGCATCTCCCTCTCTCCGCATTCTCCGGCTGTGCTGTCTCTGCCCTATTGCCTGGCCTGTGGGTAAGTGAGATGTTGAAACCTTTCATAGGATCGTAGATTTAGAGCTAAAAGGGACTCTAGAGGCCATTGAGTGCAACCTCCATCATTTTACAGGTGAGGAAACTGAGGCACAAAAGGGCAAGTGACCTTGCCCATGGTCACACAGTTGGCATTGGAGGCAAGACTTGAACCTGGTTCTTTCTGACTTTTATGTCCAGTGCACTACCCACTATGACTATAATTTCTTAAATAAGAAGTGCTCATTTATGCGACACTCAAAGCCCAGGAGCCTTTTTCTCTTCCTCCATCAGAATCTCCTAATTCAGGTGTGATAAACTCCAAACATACCTTTGCCACCTGTTTCATATGCCTGTTGTTGTTGTTCAGTTGTGTCCAACTCTACATGATCCTATGGACCCCTATCCGTTGGGTTTTCTTGGCAAATGGAATGGTTGACCATTTCCTTTCCAGTGGATCACCAATCCATATGCAAATAAAAGTTAAGTGACTTACCCAAGGTCACATAGCTAGGAAGTTTCTGAGGCAAGACTTGAACTCAGGTCTTCCTGACTTGGAGCCCAGCACTCTATCCACTATGCCTCCTAGCTACCTGTCTTCATATGCCTTATTGTTGTTTGTTCATTTCAGTCATGCCCAACTCTTTATGACCCCATTTGGGGTTTTCTTGGCAAAGATACTGGAGTGGTTTGCCATTTCCTTCTCTGGCTCATTTTACAGATGAGGAAACTGAGGTAAGAGTGATCAAGTGACTTGCCCAGGGCCACATAGCTAGGAAGTTCTTGAGGCTGGATTTGAATTCAGGTCTTCCTGACTCCAGGACCCAGCATTCTATCCACTATGCCACCTAACTGTCCATAAGCCTACCCAATCCTTAATCCTAACTCAATGGTACTTCTGCAGAGAAATGTCTCCAATCTAGCCTTTTCCTTTCTGCCCTGTGTTTTGTGTTGTTCCTGTGCACTTAACCGGATATCATGTGGTATCTGTGTTGGAGTCCCTTCACCATACTCTGAAATGCCACAAGATTAAGACCATATCTAAACTTTGTATCTCTCTTTGCCGCTGGCACAATGCTTTGCATATAGTAAATATTTGTAGAATTGAATTGACTTTCATCTAGGGAAAAAAAAACCCAACCAGCCAAACTGGGTTATACTAGGGTCAGTCACCCCGCCCCCAACATGCTATCACTGCTCCCACCTGTTCACCTTCCTCTGTCTCTGATGCCTACATCTCTCCACCTTTCCCCCAACCTAGCATAGAACTCTGAAGGCGTGATCTGCTGCAACCCCGGGCAAGGAGCCAGCGGGGCTAGGGAGGCCTCAGAGCCAGGAGCTAAAAATACCCAGGGGCTGGGGGGGAGGGGGGATTGGTGTTGCGGGAAGATTCCCTGTGGAATCTCTAGGGAGGGAGAAGATTGGATCCGGATGGAATTGGTGGGGGGAGGTGACATCTGTCTGAGCATCCGTTCTTTCCCCTGCCTTGGTGTCCGCAGACCCAGGGCACTGAGGATAAAGGGAGGTGAGGGGTAGGCAGACAGACAATTGTCTAACTTCTATTCTGCTTGCTCAAGCCTTTAGGAGGCGGCTGAGTTTGGGGGGAATGGGAGGGGAGGGCTAGCTTACAAGCCAGATCATGCCAGCTGCCCAGCAAGGCAGGATGTTGTCTGGGCTGGGGAAGAAGGAACCCTACCACTCCCACTCCTCACCTCCCCCACCCCTTCTGCCCTGGGTTGAGAAGCAGTAGCAGCCTACAGTCCAGACAGAGAGGGTGGAGATGACTTTTTCAGTTATATTTCATTGATGGAATCGGGGTTGGACCTTCCTTAGGTCCCCCTTCCTCCTACCCCATCAAGGACCAAAACCATCTTGAGGTCATTTTGGTCAGCCCCTTGCCTCTAGGCAGAACTGTGTCCAGTTCAGACAGATCTGTTGTGTCTAGCATCCCCCACCTATTCTATTACTCATATTTAGGTATCCTTAGAGTTGGGGCCTACAGGATAGCTAACCTTGATCTCTACTGCTCTGACCTCCTAATAAACATCTTTATACTTGTCGGTCAATTCTGATCCACTCCTCAGTCTGATTAACCTGGTAGGCAGGAGCCAACTCAGACTGGGAGAGCTGATTGTTAAATTTTCAGTATGAACATTTACACCTCATAAATCAACAAACTCCACAAATTAGGACTCGATTTATTGTCTTGTTGGTTGTATAGATTTAAGAAAGTGATAGAGAAAATTTAAAAGTATGTCGTGGGTTTTCAGAAAACTAATTGTTAAACATTTACCAGCACACTGCAGCTGATAGGGTGAGGATTCCAGGGCCCAGGAGAAATGGGACCTCAGATTTCTGGTTTCATCAGTCACATTCCCATGCATAAGGAAGTTGGGTGGCAATTAATTTAAAAGTGACACGGTGGCCTGAGTCATCTTTCCCCCCTTTCCCCTGGCTCCTGGTCCAGATGCTGAGGGGGTGGGGCAGCAGACTCTAGTGAGTGGTCAGTCACCAAAGAGTAACACGGCTTTCCTTGCCCCTTCCTGTATCAGACTAGGAAGTGACTAACAGAGGGCTGACAGGGCAGGGCTGGCACCGGGCCAACCTTGTGTGTGTTGGTACTGCCAAGGGGAGGGGGAGGGGGACTCTTCTTAAACCCCCTCCCTCCTCCCTTATCCCTGGGGCCTTAAAACAAAGCTTTTGCTGTTGAGGTGTGTAGGGAAGCATAAGTTGTGTCCTGCTTCCCCCTCCCAGGCTCCTCAGGCTCTGCATTCCTGACATGAGAAGGGAGGGATCTCCAAGTCTCTACATGCCCAGGGTTTGAACCTCTTCTCCCACTCTCATCTGCCCCTCATCAGCTACTCAGAGTCATTGACTAGAAGCAGAGATTTCACCCTCGTGCTACTCTTGGCTCTACCTTGATGCCAGGTGTGGAAGGGCTAGAGAGGGGAATAAAAAAAGCCAGTGGTGGGTGGGTGGGTGGGAGGGAGAGAGGTCAACATGAGGCCCCTTGGGCCGAGAATTGAATTAGAACCCAGGAAGTAGAGCAGGGAGCAGTAGCCCTAGCAGACCCTCGTCCTTGTGTGGCCTCTAGGAGAGCAAGGGAGGGAACCACAAATATTTGTGGCTCTACTGCTTCTCAGCTGATCCCATCCTCTGGCTTGGAGTAGGGAGATAGAGAGCAGAGGAATGCTGGGAAGCTCTGGAGTCTATCACATTACCCCACCCTTTATCTGCCCCCACCTCAGCCAGCCTGACTCCCCAGCTTTAGCTGTGGGTTCCTAGAGCAGCAATAAAACTTTCTCTATGCCTTTAGAGACGTGAGGCAAGGATACCAGTTAGGTCCAGGCAAGAAGTGACGAGGGCCTACCTGTCCTATGGTGGCAGCCCTTTAGAGCAAGAGATGCTGTGAAGTTAGACACACCTAGATTTCACAGCTGATTAAATATCAGGGTGAGAAAGAGAGAAAGGAGCAAGAAGTGACACTCCTGGCTGACTTGAAGGATAGTGGCATCTTCCACGGAATAGGGAAGCTCAGAAGAGAGGTAGGTTTAGGGAAAAAATTAATGAGTTCTCTTTTAGAAATGTTGACTCCAAAAAGTGGAGAAGTGAAAAGAGCGGCAGTGCAGGCACTGAGTGTGCATCCCCAAAGCTTTCTCTAGACATTTAATTGAAAAAAGCAAAGAGAGATTTAGGCTGATGGCTTGAGAGGGTTTGGGTTTAGTGCGGGTTTTTCAAGGATGAGACTTGGGCATGTTTGTAACTAGAAGGGAAGGATCCAATGGGCAAGAAGAGTTTGGAGACTGGGGTGGGGAAGGATAATTGTGGGAACCATTTGCTAGAGAAGACGGGAGGAGATGGGATTGTACTTGTTGGCCAAGTTGGTCTTGGAGAGGAGGAGGGCCACGTTGTCATCAGAGACTAAAGGAGAGAATAGGGGGTGAAGTCAAGGGCTTGTGAGATGCAGCAGAGGGGAGAAGGGGGAGCTCCTAATGAATGGTCTTCATTTCCTCGGTACAGTGTAAGATGGCCCTCAGGCTTTACTCAGATGCTCCAGTGCCTCTTAGTGACGTGTGGACTTTCTGAGGATGATCACTTTCCTGGGGGAAGGGGAGAACTGAGGCTTGCAGGGGCAATCCTCAGGCTATTCAGTCAGGGAAAGGATCTGGTTGTCCTATCCTCTCTGGTACGGGTACCCTTTTCTTAGAATGGGCTTCCCTTTAACTTGGATGGTACATTGGCTGAGAGCCAAATGTTAGTTGACCTCTAGTCTCTTTTCTGCCCCCTTAGACTCCTTGCTGGTGCTCCCCGGGACCTTGCTATACCCGATGGCTACACCAACCGGACAGGTGCAGTGTACCTGTGCCCCCTCAGCTCCCAGACAGATGACTGTGAACGGATGGATATAGAGGAAAAAAGTAAGGGGGAGGGGGCTCAGATCCCCTTGTCCTGTGTATTCCCTTTGGGCAACACCCAAAGTACTATAGGGGTGGGAGATTCAGAGGAGATGAGGTCACCATCCTCAAAAGGAAATCACAGACCCTACCCTTAGGGCACTCTCAGGCTGGGGCTAGAATGGGGCATAGAGCCCCAGATCACCCTAGGAAGAAGAGGAGTGGAACATTTCAGGGAACTGGGATGGAAGTCTGGGGGAGGGGAGGCTGGTGTCCAGGGTGTGAGGAATAACTTAAAGGAAGATCCCAGGGCCAAAGAAGGCAAGGTGAGGGACATTTTAGGGAAAGGTCTGCCTAACTGAAATAGAGAGTCTGAGCGCCCAGTTGTCTGCCCTTGAGAACTTCTGGGCCACTAGAAATGTGAGAAGTGAGTTTGTGTGTTTATGAAGACCCCGCTTGGTTTTCTATTCCCTGCCTCACTCCTGACTTTGCTCTTAGGTGATCCCAGGCAGCACATTATTGAGGACATGTGGCTTGGGGTGACAGTGGCCAGCCAGGGACCGGCAGGCAGAGTGTTGGTGAGTGGGTAGATGTGACTTGGGTCATTCCACAGCCCCTGTGCTTCCCTTGTACCTTCCAGACTATTCAGATCCCCCTGGGGGGTGGCGGGAATGTTACATGGCAGAAGAAGAACCAGGAATCTGAGTACCTGGGCCTCTGAGAACAATATGTGTGTGTCCATGGGGGTTCTGTTGCTCTTCCCAGGCTGGGTGTGGCACAGCCCTAGTCCAAGTCTCACTCATTGCTCTTCCCAGTCCCTAGGGTGCCCACCCTTCGTGGGAACAAGCCGAGTGAGCCTCTGGGAGGAAAGGGCAGAAGGGGCCCCAGGCGGCACAGACTTGGCTGTAATTGCTTCCTTTGGGAGGGAGGTGGGGCTGTGGGAGCCAGAAAGAAGTGGCACAGTTCCTGGGGAACCTCGCCTGCTCCAGCCTGGGCGTCAGGAGCTCCCGTCTTCCTCCGGGCACTCTCCGGAATCCCCTAGTGCCAGTTACCTCCCCTGTCCTGTGATGTTCTTCCTCACTCACCCCTCTGTCACCCTCAGGCCTCAGTGTTGGTTCTTCCTCAGTGCCAGCCTTTCACTTCTGGAGGAATAAAATTCCAAAAGCCCCTTTTGAACTGATTCTGGACTCTATTGCACAGAACCATAGAATCCAGAAGAGTTCCAGAAGAACTCTTTTGGATTCCCCATTCTTGGCCATTTCTAGATCAGTCTGGTTCTAGAATAACAATGATGATAATGATCTAGTATTTATACAACACTTTAAGGTTTGCAAAACACTTTACAAATATTTTCTCCTCACAATAACCCTGGGAGGCTGGTGCTATTATTATCCCCATTTTACATATGGGGAAACTGAGGCCGACAACGGTTAAGTGCTCAGGATTATACAGCTTTTGAGTGTCTGAGACAAGATTCCAACTCAGGTCATGCTGACTCCAGGGCCAGCATTCTAAACCACTGTACCATCTAGGTGTCTTTTTCCCCATTCCTACTTGTTTTAATAATAATGATAATAATAATAATAGTAATTTTTATATAGCCCTTCAAAGTTGGCAAATCCTTTTACATTATATTATCTCATTTGATACTCATAACCACCTGGGAAGTAACTACTGTTATTCACATTTTACAGATGAGGAAACTAAGGCTGGAAGTTGTTAAGTGCCTTGCCCAGGGTCACAGAGATAGTAAGAGTCTGATGCAGAATTTGAACTCAGATCATCCTGACTCCCAAGTCCTTTCCTACTCTTTCCACTTTGTCACCTTGCGCGCACGCGCGTACACACACACACACACACTATCTAATTCTAGGTCAACATCTGTTTTTGTTTTTTATTTGTTTTTACTGTAAGAGGACAGGGTATTTGCAGGGTGGGGGGCAGGCAGGATGTCTTTAACTTCCTCTGTAACCAGTTTCTTTTTGGCCTCTGAACCAAGGACTGCCCCCAACTTGTCCTTCTATGATAATCCCCCCAGATCCCTTATTTTCCAAGAAATAGTGTTCCCTTTCCCTCTCCTCCCTCCCGGGGGAATCTAATACACAGAAAAAAGACATTCAGCTTCAAGAGTTAATGGAGGAAATGAAAAGAACCCAGGACTTCCTCCTTCTGCACTCCCAGAACAACAAAGAAGACCCAGTGAGAGAGGTCTAAGGGACAAGCAAACAACTGCCTGTCCAGAGCCCTGGCGGTGGGGCCTCTGGTGGGGTATGTAGGATGGGTTGTGACAAAGGTATTGTCTGGGGGGGGATGTCCCCAGGTCTGCGCCCATCGCTACACCAAGGTGCTATGGTCAGGGTCAGAGGACCAGCGGCGGATGGTGGGCAAGTGTTACGTGCGGGGCAACGATCTGCAACTCGACTCCAGAGACGACTGGCAGACCTACCACAATGAGATGTGCAACAGCAACACAGACTACCTGGGCACAGGCATGTGCCAGATGGGCACCAGTGGGGGCTTCACCCACAATACTGTGTACTTTGGCGCACCTGGTGCCTACAACTGGAAAGGTGGGTCAGAAAGAGTGGCAAATGGTAGATGTCATGCAGCCCAGGCCAGTGGTAGGAGCATCAGGCAGAACCTTTCATGATCACCCAGGGTGGGAAGATGGGAGCAGCAGGCTGGACGTGCTATCAATGTCTACTACCTCCTTTTTCCCAGCCTGATCCGTCCATTCTCTATACATCTTGGCTGGAGCTTCAGCCTTTTTGTAATTATGGAATGAGCTTCCCATTTTTACTTTTCATTGATGGAAGCAGCAGATGAGATCCTTCACTGGGGACAGTCAGAGCAGGAGCTTCATCTATCTGCTACTATAGACCAAGCTGCTAGGCTCTTTCTCTGCTGTAAACTTTCTCTCTCTCTCCTCCCTCCCTGTCTGTCTGTCTGTCTGTCTGTCTCTCTCTCTCTCCTTTCTCTTTCCCTCCTTCCTTAGATTCTTCCCTCCTGCCCTGCCTCACCCTTCTTCTTCCCTTTTTCCCTTCCTCTCTCTCCCCTCCCTCCTTTTCTCCCTGTCCTCTCTGTGTGTGTCCGTCTCTCTGTCTCTTTCCTCCTTCCTTCCCTGACTCCCTCTCTCTCTCTTCTTCTCTCTTCCTTTCTCCTTTCTTCTCTCAATCTCTCTCCTCCTTCCCTCCCTCCCTCTCCCCCTCACCTCTCTATCTCTCTCTCCCTCCCTTCCTCTCTCTCTCTCTCCCTTTACCTCTCTCCACACAATCACATCCCATGTACCACCATGGCTGCCAACTAGAGCGAAAGGAGCCCTCAAGTGGATGTGAATAGCCATTATAGAGAAGCCCAAGAACCAGGTTTTCTGTGGACTGGAACTATCAACCCAGGAGTGAGAATTGGGGGAGCAGTAGGACAGATGTGATTGTAGATTTCTAATTCTAAAAAGAGACCCTGGAGAGGTTTTCTTTGCAGTGGTTCGGCGGTAGCAGAATATAGTAGAAAGGCTTCTGATTTTGGAGTCCCAGGGCCTGGAGTAGCTTCCTATCTCTGCTCCTTGCTGCCCATGTGACCATGACCTAGCTGATTCACTTTTCAGAGCCTCAGTTTCTTCATTTCTAAAATAAAATGGGTTTAGTCTGAAATGATTTCTGAGGTCACTTCTGACTCTAAGCCTCTGCTATCCTATGATTGTCCTAGAGGTGCATTCTGGTTATAGTCGGTAGGATTTAGACTACGAAGGAACCTTAAAAGTCATCTAGTCCAACCCCTTTCACCAAAGAAGAAACTGAGGCACAGTGAGATCAAGTGCTTTACTCAAGGTTCACAAGAGATGGCAGAGCCAGAATTTGAACCCAAACCTTTTGACTCTATGTGGAGCATCTTTTCCCTGCTGCTGTGCTTGCCGCCCTAAGGAAGGGCGAAGAATCCTTGAAGAGGATGGTGGTAGAGGGCAGGAATAGTTTCTATGCAATTCAGCCAGGAAGAAGAAGGAGGGATGGGCTCTGAGTTCGTGCTAATTGTTCCCCCTCCCCCTTCAGGTACCACCTATATGATCCAGAGGAAAGATTGGGATTTTTCAGAGCACAGTTACACAAACGCAGAGGACCTAGGGCATCTCTATATTGGTGAGTCCAGGGCTGGAATCCTTGATTATGAAATGAAGAAGAGAAGCCTGGTGGGTGGAAGAGAAAGTCTGGGGGTAGTGAATGGATGCCCAGCTATCTGAGACAGCCACCCTCTTTTTAATATCTTTATTCCAATATAATAGGTTTCCTTTATAGCCTTAGGCATTTTATTTTATACATTTATAAACATGATTCTGAGAAGAGGTCTATAGGCTTCACCAGATTTCCAAAAGGGTTCATAGCACAAAAAAAGGTGAAGTACTCCTGGGCTAGGGCATTTCCTGAGGGACATCAAGGGAGGTGATTAGAACTATGTGCAGGCTGCTGCAGTGAGGTCCCTTGTGACTCACCTCTTCCTTCTAATCTTCTCCCAGGGTACACAGTACAGGTGGGGAATGGCATCTTGCACCCTGAGAGTCTCACCATTGTGGCTGGTGCTCCCCGGCACCGTCACGTGGGCTCTGTCTTCCTCATGAACGTGGAGGCAGGTGGGGAAATGGAGATGAAGCAGGTGTTGGAAGGGGAGCAGGTGGGTGCTTACTTCGGCAGCGCCATCGCCCTAACGGACCTTAACAATGACGGGTGAGTGAGACTCTAGATCTGTGATGGACCTTGACCCTTCTCACTAGTCTGGGGATCACACTTCTCCTCTAATCCAGGGAATTGGGCAGAGACAAGTGTACTTGTGCGTCCATTTTCATTTCATCATGGATCTGAGATCAGAACTTGTGGTGGGCTCTGGGTTTGAGCATTATTTGCAAATAATTTATCTTTCCTGTGCATGAGTTTTCATGTGGAAGATCGCTGTGCGTGGTGCTTGGGGGTGTGTGTTTAAAACTTGAATGTCGTTTATAGGAAACCAAAGCAGTTTATTTTCCATGACTTCTCCATACTCACATATCATGCACATGGGTCTTATATTGCCTTCCTGTGCCCAAAGCATAAGACTGAAGGCCATGACCAAGGCAGCCCTAAGGTTATGTGGATTTGTGTCTGGATAGCGTATCCGTGGATCACTTTGAGAGGGGGATGTCACAGGGGCCACTGCCCTCACATCCTCCTCTCCACTGGGGTAGGTGGCAGGATCTCCTGGTGGGTGCCCCCTACTACTTTGAGCGGAAGGAAGAGATCGGTGGTGCAGTCTACATTTTTATGAATCAGGGGGGCATCTTCCCCATTCACCCTTCGCAACATCTCCATGGCCCAAATGGCTCAAACTTTGGCTTCTCTGTGGCCAGCCTCGGAGACATCAACCAGGACGGCTTCCAGGGTGAGATTCCCCCCATCTCCTGCCTCCTCCTAACATCCCCGCTCCCCATTACTCCTTCAAGTCCACAAATATTTACAGAATACCTACTTTGTGAGGGCACTGTGCTGAGTTGCAGAGGGGTGAGTACAGAGAAGAATTAGATACAGTCTCATTCTTCCCAGAAATTACAGTGTAGTCAGAGGAATGATATGCGCACAAGAAAAGATGGCTAACAAAACAAGGCAGTTGTTTAAATGCCAAATGAGTGTTACACCCAGAAAGCTCTGGGGTTTAGAAGAGGGAAGACATGTAGCCTAGGGACCTTAGAAGAGGCTTCTTAGGAATGGTAAGACAAGATGAGCATTGAAGAATAGGTTTAGATAGTTAGAGAGGAGGGAGGGCATGCTATGTGGGGAATGTATTTGGGGGACAATGAGTAGATTGGTGAGGAAGAACAAGTGGAGTTCATCTAGGGAACTAGGAGCAGGCGAGGCTGGAAAGGTGAGTGGAGGTCAGAGTACAGAAGGACTGTATCTTGTAAGCCAAAAGGGGCCCTTGAAGATTTTTAAGTTAGGGATTGAGTAACATCAGTCCTGTGCAGCTTTGACCGGGAAGAAATGAGGCTTGGGGCAATGTCGGGGAGAAGAATTGAAGGGATCATTTGGGAGGTTCTTGGAGTAGTCCAATGAAGTAGAGTAGTGTCACGGGGGAAGGATAGATTATTATGGAGAAATCCACAGGACCATGGGTTCAGGAAACCCTGGAGGTCACTGAGTTCAGCTGACATGTTTTACAGATGAGGTAGCAGGTGAAAGTGAGGGAGAAATTGGAGCGGTCTTTAAAGTAAAATGCCAATGACTTGTAGATGATAAGGAAGTGAGAGTGGGTGGAGTTGATTTTGAAGGGAACATGAGAGGTAATGTACCCAGAGCTCTAGACAGAGTCAGAACTAAATAGAATCCTCTCGGTGTCTATCTAGCTGTGTAATCAGAGGCAAATATCTTTCCCTCTCATGACCTCAATTTCCTGAGGGAGTTGAATTAGTTGGGGCCTTCTGAGTATATTTCTATGTTTTGAGTTTTGTAATTTTTTTGCCTCCTATCCTGGGGTGTCTGGCCTTTCCCACCTACCAATGTCCACTTCTTTCCTTAGAGGTCACTATTTCTCTGGCCTGGAAACAGGGAGGAATGGGACAGGTTCTCTGGGTGACTCTTCCCAGAGTGAATTGCTGTCTCTCCTCCCTTATCCCTTCCTCCCTTCTCCCCCAGATGTTGCAGTGGGTGCTCCATTTGAGGGTTTGGGCAAAGTCTACATCTACCACAGCAGCGCCTCAGGCATCAGCAACCGACCTCAGCAGGTACAGGGAGTGGGCATGCCACCAGGCTGGTCACCTGCCTGTCAGTCAGAGTGTTCATCCCTCCCTTTTTGTCCAAGTGCCTGTCTGTCCCATGTACCCGTCTGGTCTTTCTGTCCATCAGTTTACTCTTGAGCTGTTTGTTGATCCCACTGCTTAAACAGCCAGCCACAGAAGATTTCCAGTCAGCCATCTCTCTCGGGTGTCTGCCTCTTTGTCTTCTGTCTGGCTGCCCATTTATCTACTAGACCATCCCTCTGTTTGTCATCCCCACCTCCCCCACCAAACATACACACAGAAAACAGGGTGAGGGGTAACTCCTTAAGCCCCACAACCCCTACCGTCTTCTCCTCTGCATTCTCTCCCTACACACACTACCACCACACACCCCACTTTGCTCCCAGGTGATTCATGGGGAAAAGCTTGGCACCCCTGGCCTGGCCACCTTTGGCTACTCGCTGAGTGGGCGGCTCGACGTGGATGAGAACTCATACCCCGACCTGCTGGTGGGGAGCCTGGCTGACCGCATCGTGCTGTTGCGGTGAGCAGGATGGGAAACATCCTCAAGGGTAGTGGGATGGACTGGCTTGGGGGACCCATTAGGAGTCAGGAGATCCATGCCTTGTCTGTCCCTTACTGTCTTTCAATCAGCAAGTGTCTATCGAATGCCTTTTCTATGTCCAGCTCTCTGTGTCTTTGTCTATGTCTCTCTGTCCCTCCTTCCTTGTTTTTCTATCGTATTGGCTCCATTCTCCCAGTTGGAGGCAGGGTGGTATAGTGGAGAGAGTCCTTGATTGGGAAATAGGATCTGTTCTAGGATCTGATATTAACTAGGCAGCTAGGTGGTCCAGGGGACAGAGCCCTAGATCTGGAATCAGGAAGACCTAAGTTCAAACCTAGCCTCAGATACTTCTGGCTGAGTCTCTCTGAGCAAGTCACTTAACTTTTGTCTGCCTCAGTTGTCTCATCTGTAAAATGGGGATTATAATTGCATCTACCTCCCAGGGCTGTTGTGAGGTTCAAATGAGATAATATTGGTAAAAGTGCTTTGCAAACCTTACTGAGCTATATAAATGCCAGCTATTATTATTAGTTTGCCCTCACTTAATGTACTAAATGTCTCCCTTTCTCCTGAGAGGTCACAATTTCTATGAGTGTCTGACCTACGTCTGGGATTAGGTGATGGGGGTGAGGAGGAGCCCAGGCTGATCTGGGCCATCTCTCCTCTCACCCCACCCCTGAGACTTCAAAGTGGGTACAATCTACAGGGGACAGACTGATATGCCATGTGACCTTTGTCAAGTCATGCCCCATCTTCTGGACTCGATCTCTTTTATCTGTGACTGGGGGTGTTGGATTAGGTGGATTTCAAGGTCCCTTCTAGCTCCAGAGTTCCACAAGCAATGCTCTGAGCTCTTCACGGAGCAGGGGCTTGGGGGTCTGCCCATACTGTATAATCTGACAACCAAATGATATGTGCCCAGATGAGACTTCCCTTCCTCTCCCTAGAGCCCGTCCAGTTATCAACATCCTTAACAAGACTCTGGCAGTGAGGCCTACTATGCTGGATCCTAGCCGCTGTACTTCCACCTCCTGGTAAGCTACTCTCCCCTCCACATCCTTTATGAGCTCTCCCTTCTCACACCCCTTCCGGCAAACAGCTTTACCCACTCTTTCAACCTTTTATCTTCCCCTTCCTCCATACCCCATCCCCTATAGAATGTAAGCTCCCAGAGGGAAGGGATAGCTTTTCATTTTGTGTTTGTATCACTAGTACCTCACAAAGGGTCTTGCACATAGTAGGTGCTCTTTCTCTATTTGTGAATGAATGAAAAGAGAGACAGGGACATTAGAGACAGGTGTTACTGACTTCTCAATTTTACCCAGGGCCACCCTACTTTCTGTCTTCCCAGCAAGATTGCACCAGCCTTCTTCTGGTGCCTTTCCTTTCCTTTTACCAGTGGCTGAGGGAGGCGGGACCCAGGGATGCTTATTGTCCCCTTCTCTTGACCTCCTTCTGGTGGTCCTTGTAGCATTCAGGTCGAGGTGTGCTTCGCCTACAACCAAAGTGCAGGGAATCCAAGCTACAGACAAAACATCAGTGAGTGCCTTGAAATGGGGGAGGTTAAGGGGATCTGGGTATGGGGCTTGGGGGCACAGTGCAAAAAAACCCCACTGGATTTGGAATTCATTGAGGAATTCAAGACCCAATTCTGCTACTTACTAGTTTTGTGACCTTACGTGAGTCACTTTAACCTCTCAGAGCCTCAGTTTCCCCATCTATAAGATGGAGGTAACAAGAGTTGTTAGCCCCAGCTAGGCACTGTGGGATTGTTGTGGGGATCATCAGAGAAATAAGTTTATGTAAAGCTTTGTAGCAGTATGGAAACACTAGCCGTGAGTCCTCTCCATGTATTACACAAATATAAACTATAATTATTATTCTTACCCTATTACATGCCCACCCTGGTTGACCTCCTTGCTGCCTTCTCACAGCCCTGGCATATACCCTGGAGGCAGATCGAGATCGACGCCCACCCCGAGTCCGGTTTGCTAAGAGTCCTTCTTCTGTTTACCATGGATTGTTTTCCATGCCTGACACCCGCTGCCAAACCCTTGATCTGCTTCTGGTGGTGAGGAATGGGCGGGTGTGTGTGTTCTTGTGTGTTTATGTGAAAACATTCCCATCTGAGATGATTTCAAGTAGCTGACACCATTCCAGCCAAATAGCTGATGACACAGATGGGTGGGTGGAGGAGCTGGGCTATAGGGAGTCCAAGGAAGGGGTGGCCCTCATATTAGGAGCCAGCTGGGTGAAGAATACTAGGCACAGAATCGGGAAGATGTGAATTCAAATCTATCCTCAGACACTTACTAGCGGTGTGCCCCTGAGCAAGTCACTTAACCCTGTTTGTCTCAGTTTCTTCCTTTGTAAAATGGGGGTAATAACTTGTACCTACCTCCCAGGATTGTTGTGAGGATCAAATTGAGATATTTATAAAGCGTTTGAACAGTGCCTAGTACAGAGTGGGTACTTAATTATTGTTTCTTTCTTTCCTTCCTTTAAATATTCTTGGAGTGAGGTCAAGTTAATAGGCATTTGTTAAGTTCTTAACTGCTGTCTACCTCAGTTTCCTCATCTGTAAAATGGAGGTAATGCTAACACATACCACACAGGGTTGTTGTGAGGATCAAATGAGATCATATTTGTAAAGTGTTTTGTAAACCTTAAAAAGTGCCTTATAAATGCTAGTACCATGATGATGATGTACCTGACTTAATTACTTTATTAAGTATTATGTGCCACTTTCCTAGAGTGGAAGACTAAGAGGATTCTGGGTTACCGAGGTGGTATCCTCAAGGGGCTATATGTGGAGGTCTCTGTGGAGGAAAGATCCAATAGGGAAGGAGTTATGGGTGGATGGGAATGATCCTCAGCTTCCCTTCCCTTTTCCAGGACAGTATTCGGGATAAGCTCCGCCCCATCTCCATCTTCATGAACTACTCCTTACCAGAGAAGCTTCCTGAGCACCCACGCCTAGGACTCCATTCCCTGGATGCCTTTCCTGTCCTTAATGAGGCCCAGCCCCGAGAGAACCAAACAGAGGTCAGTTAAATAGGCATTTTGGAGTATACAAGGAGGAGGGCATGGAGAAAAGCTAAGTAAGGGGAGGGACAGAGGAGCCTAGGACCTGGGGAGTCAGGTGGCTGAGAATATAGGTCTGAGAAGTGAGAGGGTAATAAAATTTGTTTCAGGACTCAGGACCAGGAGCACCCTGCCCCTGAGAGGACCTTCAAGGACTAAGGATGGGGGTGGGGGGAGTATCCATTATCTGTCATGTTGTTTTGCATGTGGATTTGAGGCAGAGCAGCAACATTCCCTTTCTAAGACAACTATTCCCCTGACATTAGAATTTCCAGGGTTCAAAGTTAAACAGTTCTTTCAGAATCTTGTTTCTCATCGTCCATGACTGTTAGCTTGTACAGTCTCTCAAGAAGTTTTCTTTAGTTCTTTCTCCCAGGGTCTCACAAAGTCTTAATCAGCCAGGACATTTAACACTCTTCAGATGAAAACCTTTATCTCCATTACTGTTTCCTCCCTCCTGTCTTCATACCTCCAGATTCAGTTCCAGAAGGAGTGTGGTATTGACAACAAGTGTGATAGTAACTTACAGCTTCAGGCTGCCTTCTTGTCTGAACGGCTACAACCCATTAAAAGGTGAGGGACCAGGCTGGGCCCCTGAATAATCAGTTTAGGGATCAGGGGACCAGACCTATACCTCACTGTACTGGTGGAACCTAATGGGGAAGGACTGGGCCTCCTTGGCCAAATAGGGGCTGGGGGAGATAGAATCAGATTGGCCAAGAGGCACCCACAGGGTGGGCTCTGATTGGCCAAGAGGGAGCTGAAGGTTAGAGGATGACTCATTCCCCAGCCTTCTTTCCTTTTCAACCTCTAGACTCCAGTACAGTAAGGATGTCCGGAAGCTGTACTTGAACATCAATATAACCAACATGCCCAGCAGGAATCGCGCTGGGGAGGACGCTCATGAGGCCTTGCTCACCTTAGTTTTGTTTCCAGCCTTACTTATCTCCTCCATCCGCCCTGTGAGTCTGCCCATTGTCATCCCCAGTTACTCATTGGAACCTCCAGAGGTCTGAATGGGAGAGTAGGGATATCACCATCCATGTTCATTTGCATGTTGATTTGAATGCTTTGGGATTCACCACGTGCCTCTTCCCAACCCCCCACCTCCATCTCTGTTTACTAAACAATCCCCGTGTTACCATTTGTGGTTGGGCTAGAAGAACTGGTTGAATGCTACCTGAGCTGGCCTGGCATCCTTGCTGTCTTCCCCTCACTTAGCCTCGGGACCTAGAATTTCTTGAGATGGAGATTCTCAAGTTATCCAACAGGGGGAGAAAGCAGCTGTTCCCTGTTTGTGTGTAGAGGAGGGGTGGGAGGTAGGGAGTCAGGGGACTCTACCATTGAAGCGTATTTTGGGAAGGGATGGACCAAATCCGACTAACTGCCCCTGTTCCCCAAATCTTTCTCCCGTCTCATCCCCATCCAAAGGCTGGAGCCTGCCAGGCCAATGAGACTATCGTGTGTGAGCTGGGAAACCCATTTAAGAGGAACCAGAAGGTGAGAGATTCAGGGAGGGATACAGACCCCAGTATAAATCTTATAACCAAACTGAATGATAGGGTAGATTGATGTGCCTTGATCCACCCCTTTGTTTCCATCTGCCTCTATTCTATCTTCCTTGGGCCTAAGCTCTCTTAGCCTTCCTGGTATTCCTGAAGCCCAGGAAGGTATCCTAGCCTAGCTGGCCAGGGTCCTTTTGGCACAGGAATTTATTTTGTTCTGTCCCTTTCTATTTCCTCCATGTCATACAACCAGAGAAACAGGGAGAGATACAAGAATGTAGAAGGAAACATGTAGTTGCATCAGATGAGAGGGATAGAGAATGGGCTGGGAAAATTCATTCATTTCCACAGATATCCCTCTAGCAAATTTAGGGATGAACATCCCCACATGGAGCTCATGTAGGTATCAGGTGTATACACTGCATTAGCTGACAACCACAACAACCCCCACTCCCCTCTCATGGCTATTGGCTCATATTGCCCCCTGAGGCAATCACGGGGTATGTTCTAGTATTTCCTCATAAATTAATAGAAACACACAACCTCTTGTTATTAATTAACTCTGATCCCCCATTCCAGTTTTTAAATAAACTGGAGAAATGTCTTCTGTGTTTCCTTCTCCCTCTCTCATGTGTCTGTCTGTTTCTTTCTCTCTCCCTCCCTATCCTAATTTCCTTCTTCTCTATCCCAGTTTTCCTCTCTCCCCTGCTCCCTCCGCCTCCCCCTCTTCCCTTCTCTCTCTCCCTCCATCTCTCTTTTTTGTCTCTGTCTCTTTCCTTCTCTCTCTGTCTTCGTCTGTTGGTTCTTCCGTCTTTCTCTCCTCTCCCTCCGCCTTCACAGGTTTAAATAACATAACATTAATGTTACTGATTGTGTAGTTGATTACTACTGTAACAAACAGTAGAAAGACATATTTAAATATTTCAACAATGTAACATCTGTAAGAAAAATCGCAGCCCAGGCAACCTTTAAGTAGAGGTTGCAACTGCTGGCGTCTGTAGTGATACAAATCAGTTCTCACGGGATGCCATCTCTGCAGGATCAAAGTTAAACAGTTCTTTCAGAATCTCATTTCTCATCCTCCGTGACTGTTAGCTTGTACAGTCTCTCAAGAAGTTCTCTTTAGTTCTTTCTCCCAGGATTTCACAAAGTCTTAATCAGCCAGGACAGTTAACACTCTCCAGATGACAATAGTAACTTCCTAAGCTTCCATTCTTAAATATGAAGTAACTATAGTCTCAAAGAGAGAAGCCATTGAAACGGATGTTACATTAGTAGATAGTACAGTTGGCACTATACTTAGGGCTAAAGATATAAAGAGAGGGAGAAAAAATAGTTCCTGCCTTAAAAACACAGACATTGGTAGAGGATGAGGGGCACAAAGAGAGAGGGAAGGGAAAAGAGTGAGAGTTGAGGGTAGAAGAGGAAGAAAGTAAGTTGTGGAGGTAGGAGGGGAGAGAGACCCTCAGAAGGGGAAGGATACTGAATGAATATATTCCCAGTATTATACTTTCTTGACCTTGCCTTTGACCATGGGGACAAGAATTCAGAGACTACTAACCTCTCTCATTACACCTTCCCCTCAAAGATGGAGCTGTCTATTGCCTTCGAGGTTGTGGGTATCACCCTGCAGACTCAGGACATCGAGGCTCAGTTGCAGCTTTCCACGTGAGTGGGAGTGGGGTGGGTGGGATAAAGATGCACTCCACCCTGACTTTTCAGTCTCTGTCATGGGTGAGAAAGCCTTTCCTCTGCTATTCTCTACCCTGTTGTATCTCCCTAGGTCCAGTCACCAGGATAACCTAAAGCCTGTGACCTTGATGCTACAGGTGGATTATGCACTCCAGGCCTCACTCAGCATGTGGGTAACTCCTTTTCTTGCCCAGTGTCTCCACATATTCTGCAAACTACACCCTTTCCCTTAGCCCAAGTCTCTCATCACACAAATACTGTCCTTGTGCTATTTCCCATCTTGTTTTCTCCATCCTATGTCCTATCTCTTTTGTTCTCTTTGTTCCATAGCTGTCTCCTGTTTCCTATTTTCTCCATTTCCTTCATTTATCCTTTCTTTCACTTGTACCTGCTGTCCCTGTCTTCCCCTCATGTCCACCTCCCCCAACCCACACATTCAAACTCCTCTCTGTCCTTGTACAGGGTGAATCACCGGCTACAGAGTTACTTTGGGGGAACAGTGATGGGAGAGGCAGGCATGAAAAATGTCACTGATGTGGGGAGCCCTATCACCTTGGAATTCCAGGTATGGAAAGTTCTGGGGTGAGGAAAGGTGTTGGGTCAGAAAGATGGTGGTAGGGAAGAAGTTGGGCCTTTTTGGAAGAGCTGGGGTTGGTTAAGAGGTCATGGGTTAAAGAAGTCGTCATCATGAAAGGCTGATAGGGAATATGATGCCCCAAGGATGGAAGGGCTAGTGGGAGGTGGTAATGTCAGGTCTGATATTAGAAGGAGTGCTATCCTTGGTACTAACATACCTCCCGGGGTCTTCTTTACTCATAGGTGGGCCCAATGGATGAGGGGCTGGCAGCTTTGGGAACTCTGGTCCTGGGGCTAGAATGGCCCTATGAAGTTAGTAATGGCAAATGGCTTCTGTACCCCACCGAGATCATCATCCAGGGCAATGGAACTCAGCATTGCCAGCCACCTGGGGACCTTATCAATCCTCTCAACCTCACTGTAAGCAAATTTTTCCTCATTCCCCCTACCTAGCTCACCTGGGGTCCAGATATCACCTCTACCAATTACCAAGGGCTAACTCTGCCTGGAAAAATGAGGCATTGAGCATCAGCTGTTGAAATTTGCCCTGGTCCTTTACTTTGGGCCAGACTGGCTCTCCTTTCTTCTCCTTTATCCTCTCCCCAGTGATGTGGTCTCCTTTTCTCCTTTTTTCCCCTTCCTTCCTCTGTTCCTTTTCTTCCTACCTATCTGTCCTGTTCTTTCCAACAGATTTCTAGGGATGAAGCCTCTTCCCATCGACGATGGCGAAGGGAGTTGGATCCTGGAGAATCACAGGCACCTCCTCCTATCACCCTGGCCACTTCCAAGAAGGCAGAGTCAGAGACTCTGTTGGTGAGTGTCTGGGGAAAGGGGCTGATGTGTGGTGGATTTGATGTCAACCTAGCTAGAGCCCCTACTTCAACCCCAGAAACATGATGGGGGCTGGACAGAAACTCAGAGCATCATAGGGTTTATAGCAGAAAAGGGCCTTGGAGGTCATCCAATCTAACATTTCATTTTAAAGAGAAGGAAAGTTATGTCGAGTCAAATAAAGTCAACAAGTATTTATTATGCACCTGCTGTGTGCCAGGCACAGTGGTAAGTGCTGGAGATATAAAGAAATTAAAAATAAAAAGATAGTCCCTGGTCTGAAAGACCTCACAGTCTCTAATGGGGGAGACAACATGTAAATAACTATGCACAAACAAGATATAAGTGAGATAAGTTGGATATAATTAACAGAGGAAAGGCTGTAGCATTAAGGAGTACTGGGAAAGGCTTCTTGTAGGGTAGGATTTTAGTAGGATTGGAAGGAAGCCAGGGAAGCCAGGAGGCAGAGATGAGGAGGGAGAAAATTATAGGCATGGAGGACAACAGAGAAAATGCCTGGAGTCAGGAGATGGGGAAGTCTTCTGAAGGCCCCACTGATGTGTGGAGCCCTATCACCTTGGAATTCCAGGTATGGAAAGTTCTGGGGTGAGGAAAGGTGTTGGGTCAGAAAGATGGTGGTAGGGAAGAAGTTGGGCCTTTTTGGAAGAGTTGGGGTTGGTTGAGAGGTCATGGGTTAAAGAAGTCGTCATCATGAAAGGCTGATAGGGAATATGATGCCCCAAGGATGGAAGGGCTAGTGGGAGGTGGAGTGATCAAAGACTATGTGGAGAGTAAGATGTAAAAAAACTGGAAAGGTGGGAAAGGGCCAGGTTAAGGTCTTGAAAAGTCACACGGTGCATTTTTTACTGGAAACAAATAAAGAGAAACTAAGCAACTTGTTCAGGTTGAAAGAGTAGCAGACATAGATTCAAATATAATGTTCCTTCTACTATAATTAAGAAGATAATGGGAGAGGCCACTGGGGTTAGGGTTAGGATAATGTGGAGCAGGAGACCTGAAAATCATGCCATGGAAGGATCAGTTGAAGGAGTCAGGGGTGTTTAGTCTAAGGAAAAGAATACTTAGAATCCAATGGCAGCCCTTAAGTACTTAAGTTATTATATTTAAGTATTTACATTTTTAAAGTATTAAGTAAGTTACCTTAAGTATTAAAGGTAATTAAGGTGTTTAAGTATTTATGCTGTCATATGGAAAAGGAATTAGATTCATTCTGCTTGGATCCAGATGGTACAATTTAGGACCACAAGGGTAGAAGATGCTGCTTAATATAGGGGAAACTTGCTAAGAATTAGTTATCTGAAAATGAGAACAGCTTCTTAGTAAAGTAATGGAAGTATGTATTCAAGCAGAGATGTAACTGTCTAGAATCCTTCCATTGCTAAAATTCTGGAATTTCACTTGTCCAGCCTTTATTTATTTATTTTAGCCACAAATCTCCCAGAAATAATTTTTGGGGATAAATTTAACATTACTTAATCCAAGCATTTCTAATTTAGAAAGAGAAATGTCCAAAGTGACCCACGCCCTACCCTATGCCCTTGGATATCTTAAAGTAGGTAGAAGAGTGGGATATTCCTAGTCAGGAAGACATGAGTTCAAATCCAGCCTCAGACATTTACTATCCATGTGACTCTGGGCAAATCACTTCACCTGTCTCAGTTTCCTCATCTGCAAAATGGAAATAATAATAGCACCTATCTCCCAAGGTTGTTGTGAGGATCAAATGAGACATCCGTAAAGCACTTTACAGACCTCAAAGGGCTGCATTTATATAGCCATTGTTATTATTATGTCTCTGAAATAAAGTAATTTGATGTAAGATTTATAAGAATCCAGAATAAGGGAAAGATTATGTTAAAGGTCAGTTTTAGCTTTGGGTTCTATCTACCTAGTACAGTGAGAACATTCTTCTCCACCAGGTCACTTAATCTTCTCCTAAACCTACTCAAATTACTCTTTTGACCCCGCCTCTTAACTGTTGTGAAGTGATCTGAAGACCCTCCTCCTGATGATTCATACCCTCATTCTTTCAGAACGGAGAAAGAGGGACTGCCCACAGTTGGGGCAGGGTCATGCTTTTGTTTTTGACCTTTCTTGACTTGTGCTGGCAAGCTCCTAGTCTGAGGGAGGAGATGGGGGAGAAAGGACAGAGGCCCAAATGAATGCAGTTGTTCAGTCATTTTTCAATTATATCCAACTCTTCAAGACTCCATTTGGTGTTTTCTTGGTAAAGATACTGGAGTGGTTTGCCATTGTCTTTCTTCAGCTCATTTGACAGATGAAGAAACTAAGGTAAACAGGGTTAAGTGACTTGCCCAGGGTCACACAGCTAGTAAGAATCTGAGGCTAGATTTGAATTCAGGAATCACAGCTAGTAAGTGTCTAAGGCCAGAGTTGAATTCAGGAACCCAGTCAGATTTGAGCTCAGGAAGATGAGAGTCTTCCTTATTCCAAGTCTGGTGATCTATTCACTATGCCACCTAGCTGCCCAGATGAGGTTAAAAATGTTTCAGATAGAGGGAGCAAGGCTGGTTGGGAAGGGTCAGGGAAAGCTTTGAGGAGTAGAATATGGAGAAGCAGGGTTGGAAAAGAAGGGAAGTTTGAATGGGCACATAGGTTGTGGTGGATCAGTCTATTCAAGTCTCTCCTCAAATATATCAACTTTCTTTTTCATCTTCTTGTCTCTGGTGACTAATTAGGTATTTGGTACATAGTAGGCACTTAATATTCATATTGGATTAATCAATAGACGGATATGGAGATGTGAAGGCCCAGTTGTCTGGCTATGTGGATGCATATATGGAGCATATACGGATGTGTACTAGGTAGAGAGAACAAAGATCATGAGGGGAATGTCTGTGAAAGGAAGGCTGAGTTACTTGGAGAAGATTCTCTTATTTGTTCTCTGTTCAATCCAGTCCTGTGCCAATGGTCGTGCTCACTGTGTGTGGCTTGAATGCCAGATTCCTGATGTCTCAGTACCCTCTACCATGACGGTGCAGGCACGAGTGTGGAACAGCACCTTCATTGAGGTTAGTGATCATCCTAGGTGGGGCAGAGGAGTCTAAGCTCCAGTGCCACCCCTTCTATCTTGGGCATTTTGGGGAGACAAGAGGGAAAGAATGAACTAACCTAGCCAGGCATGTCCCAGCAGGGCCCATCATCCTGGCCCAGCCATTATGGATGCCCGCCTGATACCTTCATTTGGCTCCCTCTGGGTCATTGCCATGTGACTGTGTGTAATGGTGTGGCAAGTGTGTATGAACTTTAGTTCACATGTATCTGCATAATTTTGTCCATGTGTGAGATGTCTTTGATGTTTTGGATTTATTCAGTGTGCCTGTAGGTAGAGGGGAAGACTGACTACAGAAACATTGGGGTGAACAGAGGGGAGCTTATCAGTCAGTCTGTGGAGATGGGTCACGGACCCGAGCATGCGAGAACCTTCTCTACTGAATCTGCCCATACGGTTGGGCCTTTGTTGATGCTGTCTGGGCATAAGAGTTTTGATTTTTGGGGGGGCCAGAGTCATGAGGAACACTGGCTCTCTCTCTTACTTCACCCTGCCTTCCATTGCAGGATTACAGTGATTTTGACAGGGTCAGGGTGGATGGCTGGGCCACACTCTTCCTCCGAACCGACATCCTGACCATCAGTATGGAAAACAAGACGACGTGGGTGAGTCACAAACAGCAATAAAAGGGTTTGCTTACTTTCATTTCTTGCCTGTTCACTCACAGAAGGTTTTATTTATACGGTACTTTCCAAAGCCCTCCCATAACCATTATCTTGGCAATCTTGGCTTTTCCCCTTCTGGTCTCTGCCTGTAAAGGAATGCAGGGGCAGATGGCATCATTCTTAAGAAATTGAGGCTCAAGGGCAGCTAGGTGGTGCAGTGGATAGAGCACTGGCCCTGGAGTCAGGAGGACCTGAGTTCAAATCTGACCTCAGACACTTGACATTTACTAGCTGTGTGACCCTGGGCAAGTCACTTAATCACATTGCCTAGCCAAAAAGAAAAAAAGAAAAGAACTTGCAAGGTAAAGGGGCTTGCACAAAGCTAGGTAGTAGTAATGGTCATAAGGAGAACCTAGCACCTTAACTCCCAATCTAAGGTTCTTTTCCTTACACCATAACTCAAAAGGTTAAGGCAGGGGTGGGGAACCTGTGGCCTGGCAGCCAGGCCCTCTAGGTCCTCAAGTGTGGCCCTTTTACTGAATCACTGAAGTTTGGATTCAATCAAAGGGCCACACTTGAGGACCTAGAGGGCTACATGTGGCCTCAAGGTCACAGGTTCCCCATCTTTGAGTTAAGATAAGGGAGTACAAATGATCTTTAACAGCAATGGAATCTTCTCATTTGTGTGTGTACATGCTAGAGGCAGGAATTGGGGGTGGGGGAAGAAGGGGACATGAGGGTCTTGTACATGGGAGAGATTCTTCTCCAGTTGTGGGCATCACGGAGATGGACAGACTGACCTTTGCAGGTCAGACAGGAATTTTTCCTCAGCCTCCAGGCGCCCCCTTCTGGGAGGCAGCCAAACTGCAGGGCCTAATGGCTCAGGTCTGGGAAGAAAGGAATTGGGGGCGTGGTGGGGGAAGGTAAGGAGTCAGGTTAAATGGCCTTTCTCCATTCTTCTGTCCATGCCCATTCACCCACTCCAGTTTTCTGTGGACATTGACTCAGAGCTGACCGAAGAACTCCCTGCTGAGATTGAACTTTGGCTGGTCCTAGTTTCTGTGGGAGCTGGGCTGTTACTATTGGGGCTTATCATCCTCTTGCTTTGGAAGGTAGGCGCCCTACTCCACACCCATCCCCCTCCCTGTTCATTCCATCCCCTCAGGTCCCCTTCCCCCTCCTTTCTCCCTTTCCTACTCCCTTCTTTCCCATCTCCCCGCCCTCCCTATTTCTTTCTAGTCCCCACGTTAGATATTGCCCCAGTAGCATCAGTGAAGGTAAAAGCTCTTGTTAAGAGATACAGTTCAGAGTTGGAGAAGAGGATCTAAGGAGTCCACAGACTCTAGCCCCAGCTGTATCCCTATGACCACCACAGTCCTAGTGATGGGATCCAGGTCTCCCAAGCCCCTCCTGGCCCAAGGAATGGGACCTAAATGTCCCATCCTCCAACCCTTGCATCTTTGCAACTCCCCTCACCCTCTCAGATGGGGACACACCCAGGCCCACCCCACCCTTTGACTCTGCATCGCCCTCCCCCACAGTGTGGCTTCTTCAAACGAGCTAGCACTCGGGCCCTGTATGAAGCCAAAGGGCAAAAGGCGGAGATGAAGAGCCAGCCTTCTGAGACGGAGAGGCTGACCGACGACTACTGAGGGGAGACCCATCCCTCCCCACCCCACACACACCCCGGGTAAATCCTTGCATTGAAAACTAACAAAACCCAAATCAAGAGAACCCTCTTCCTCTCAGCTCCCTACAGCCTTTGTGGGGCAGAGTCTGTCCTGTCTTCTCTTCCTCTGATTCCCTCTTCATGTCACATACTCTTCCAGGGTGTCTCCAGATTTCCCCTCTTCACTTTGGCTTTAGATACCTGCTTTGCGAAGAGAAAAGACTTTGATGGCCTAGTGGAAGACTATAAAAACACACATCCAGGGTTCCTTTCCCCTATTCTGCATACCCATCTCACTCCCCGTGCCCCTGAAGGGGGCTAGCTTGTCTCCTTCCAAGTTTCATAGCTTGCCCTCTGAACCAGAGAAGTGGAAATGGGGTAGGCCCTTAGGTATGAAAGGCCACAGGGGTTTGAGCATTTTAGGGCTCCATTCCAGCCTGGGCAGAACCTGTATATCTTTTAGAACTGGAGAAGACACTGGGAGTAGGTCCTTTCCTCACAGCCTTCTCCGATTCTGAAACAAATTTCTAGGCCCATCTTTGTCCCTTCCCCCCAGGCCCAAAGCCAAGTGGGATCCCTGGAAGAGGCAGAGAATTATTGGATACGTTTTATGCCGGATGATCTAATGCTTTTTAAAGAATCTCCCTGGGGCCATATATTATTATTATTATTATTATTATTAGGCTTTTCCTTCAGTTGCCCTGCTTGGAATTGCTAGAATCTCTTTCCTGACTGACCCTTTCCTTTCTCCCTGCAACACTCCCACCCAAGAACCTCAGTTTCTGTCCCTCCATCTCTACTTTCCTTCTGCTCCATTCTGCCTATTTCTTTCAATTCCTCTTCCTCTTTATCCAGCAGGTCCCCTGCTAAGGGAGGGGAGGGATGGGGTGGATGGTGGTAAGCAATTTTGGGTTGTGGGAAGGGAAGTCCCTGAGTTTCAAGAGTTCCTGACTTGGTGAAGGGAGTAGAGGGAACTGTCTGGAAGGGCTCTGGAAAAGCTGGTACCAAAGGCTAAACCATGTTTTCTTTGGGAAGAGGAAAGTAGAGAGAAGGGGGAGTTCTGCAGGAAGACTGGGTAGGGGAGGGCAAGGACCCACTCCCCTTGGAGCACATCTGGCCTGGTAGCTTGGAATAGCTGGATGACTAGGTACTAACATTCCTTATTTTCTCTCTTCCCTCCTTGGGGATTCTCTACTTTCTGTTCATTCCCTCCTGACAACCTGTATAGTGTGATTTCTTCAAACGGACCCATTATTACCGGATCATGCCAAAGTACCATGCTGTGCGGATTCGGGAGGAGGAGAGGTACCCACCCCCAGGGAGCACATTGCCCCCCAAGAAGCACTGGGTCACCAACTGGCAGGATCGGGACCGATACTACTGATATTTTTCCTAAACTTTCATCCGTGTTTGTCTTCACTACCCACTTCCCCAAATCCCATCCCTTTCCGTTCTATTTATCTTAAGTTATGCCTCCTGCTGCCTGCAGAGGGCGCCACTTGGTCCTTGGCACCTTTAGGTCCAGGATTCTTTTCTCCATCTCCTCCCACCACTATGGCCAGGGAAGTGCCTTCCCTTACCTTCCTAAACATAATCCCTTGCCTCTCCCCATTCTCTGTCTCTCTCTCTCATTCTCTACCTCCCTCCCCCTGTTCCCCTCTTCCCCTCTCTTCCTCTCTTCCCCTCTCCCCCTCCCTGTCCCCCTCTGTCCCCCCTTCTCCCTCACTCCACATACACACGTGCTGATTATTCATCCCTCCCTCCTCTAGGCTCCATTTCCTGCCTTTTAGGTGAGGAGGGACTGTGGACACTTGCTATGGCCATGTTCATACTACCCCTTGTCCCTGCATACATGTGATCCCATGTACATGTTCAAGGGATTTACTTGCATACATGTGACCATGCATGGAATATCCCAGTCTTTGCTGGTGCCAAAACCTGGATGTCCCTCCCCATTCTCTTCCTACCTCCTCCATAATGTTGCTTAACCCCCTGATCCCTTGGGGTCAGGAAGAATGAAAACCCCCAAGTCTTCTGGGGAAAGAATCACTCTTGACATTCACACTGGACCTAATTTGAGCCATAGCCACTGGACTGATTCTTCTTGGGGGGCAATGATGACTGCTCAAGTTGGGCCAGATATGACCCCCATCTAAGGCCACTGGCCATTCACTAACAGCAAAAGAGAAACTTCTAAGGTGGGGAGGAAATTGACAGGTCTTTGACCAACCAAAAGGACTTCCTTCATAGCCGCTCTCAAAGGCTTGCTCCATTCTCCCTCTTGGTCACAGATTGAACCTGCAGAGAATGTAGCATTCAACAGGAAGGTTAGAAACAAGATTGCTGCTTGACAATGGTTACTGTCCACAGTGAAAGATATACAAGGCGATGGTGTTGATGTGATCAGATCGGGGAGACTTGGAAGAAAGCTGGGGGATTGGTGAGGTGGGCTGTGTATGAGATGAGAATGGCCATCACTTCTCCACCCTACCTTTCTGCCTCACTAGGGGTGGAAAAGGAAAAATGGCAATGTCCATCCCTGGATCTCAGCAGGGCAAATGAGGGGAAGAAGGTGAGTTGAGAGAAACAGACGACTGAATGAATGTAGAGTAGGGCCTGGGGCTTTGGAAACAAGCCCTTGCCCTCCCCAGCTGGACCTCTCCCTCCACCACTACTCTCCATGACAGCTGCTTCTCCACTCCTCCCTTGTACTTTGCCCCCCTCCCCCAACCTTTCACCATGTGGAAGTGGTCTGAGATCACTGGGAAGAGTGTGGTTCCTGGAGGTCAAAGTCTTGATTATCAGCACTGGGGCTAAGACACAAAATACTTCCCTCCTCTGCCCAAGGGAGGTCAAAGGAACCTTGAGGTTAACACACTCGAGTCTGGTTCCTTGGATGCTAGGGTTAAAAGCTACTGTTTGTTTCCCTCCCCTGGGCCCACTATACCCCCCCTTCCATGGTACTGTAGCAGGGGAGCCCCCTCCCCATCCTTGTGCCTTCACTGTATATAGGCTTCTGGTGGCAACCAATAAATTGCTTCTGATTTGTAAGATAGAGTATCTCATGCTATTGACCCACTTGTATCAAGCACCATCTGCCACCAGGGGATGGAGTCTTGTGCAGGGGCCATCATGGGTCTCCCTTTCTGATGGGGGAGACCCCATCTCTGCCCTCTGAGAGATCCTAGGTCCTACACTCAGGAAAATCAAAGGCTGATGGGTGGGACCAATCAATGGAAATAAATCAAGCAATGTTGATTAGTCACGATGGGAATACAAAGACAAAAATGACTTGTCCTCAAGAAGCTTGTACATTCTTTAGGGGAAATGGCACATACCTATTTACACAAAATACAAACAAGGCAGATTTGAGGGGTGAGAGGACACCAGTTGGTGGGAAGGTTGGGAAAGGCTTCATATAGAAGGTTGTGCAGGAATAGCATTCTGAAAGAAATGGGAATCTAAGAGGTAGTGGCTAGGTAGGAGTAATTTCCAGTCATGGGAGATGGCCAGTGCAGAGGCAAGGAGATGGGAGGTGAAGTGTCCAGTGTGAAAAATAGCATGAAGCCTAGTATTCTAGGACCAACAAGTGTGGGAGGGGAAATGACATATAATAATGTATGTCAGCTAGCTGGTGAAGTGGATAGAGCACTGGGTTTGGAATCGGGAAATCTTCATGAGTTCAAATCCAGCTTCAGACTGGCTGTGTGACCCTGGACAAGTTGCCCTCAGTTTCCTCATCTGTCAAATGAGTTGGAGAAGGAAATGGCAAACCACTCCAGTATCCTTGCTAAGGAAACCCCAAAATAGGGTCAGGGAGAGTTAGACACCACTGAATAAGGTTGAAAAAGTTTGTTAGGATTGGATTGTGAAGGGCTTTAAAAACTAAGCGGAAGAATACATATTTGATCCTAGAGACAATAGGGAGCCCTTGGAGTTTATTGAATGGAGGAGTGGCATGGTCAGATCTGCATTTTAGGAAAATTACTGTGGCCACCCTGTGCAGGACAGATTGGAGAAAGGAGAGACTGGAAGTGAGGAAGACAATTAGGAAGCTGTTTTAACAGTCAATGCTAGAGATAACTGGGATGTTGGCCATATAAGGAGAGAAAAGGGAATAGATGCAAGAAATTTTGTGGAGGTGGAAACAAAATTTGGCAACTGATTAGATTTGGGGGATGATGTCTAATGAAGTCAAGTATGATGCTGAGGTTGTGAACCTGAAAGGATGGTGATGACCTCTCCAGAAATAGAGAAGTGCAGAAGGTGGGTTTCGTGGGCATAATGAGAGTTTGAAAGGCCTATGGAAGGGCAGCTAGGTGGTGCGGTGGATAGAACACTGACCCTAGAGTTAGGAGGACCTGAGTTTAAATCCAGCCTCAGATACTTACTAGCTGTGTGACCCTGGGCGAGTCATTTAATCCTGATTGCCTCAAAAAAGAAAGAAAGAAAGGCCTATGAGACAACCAGTGGAAACATCCAATTGGCCATTGGAAATGCACAACTGGTGCTTAACCAAACTCCTAAAAAAGCTATATATACTTCTTGCCTCCAGTTCCCTTCCTTTCACTCACTTTTTAACCCTTTGCAATCTGGCTATTTGACCTCATCACTTCAATTCTCTCCAAAGCTACCAGTGATTCCCTAATTGCCAAATTGCATGGCTTTTCTCAATCCTTATTCTTGACTGTTTTTGTATCCTGAGCACTTAGTACAGTCCCTGGCACATAGTGGGAGCTTAATACATGCTTATTGATTGGTGGATTGACTTCTCTGCAGCTTTTGACTCTGCTGACCACCTTCTCCTACTGGGTAATCCTCTCTGGGTTTTAGAGATCCTGTTCCCATGGTTTTCCTCCTACCTGTTTGCTCCTTACCAGTCTCTTTTGATGGCTTAACGTCCACATTACAACCTCTTACTCTGAGTGTTTCCCAAGGTTCTATCCTGAGTTTTCTTCTTTCTCTGCATTCTCTCACTTAGTGACCTCAAAGCTCCTATAGGTTAATTAACAACTCTATTCTGATGACTCCTGAATCTTTATATCCACTCCTAGGGCTATGGAACAGATTGTACATAATGGACTTGAGAGTGTCTAGGGAATGGATGAATTGACATTAAATTAGGGAAGACCAGCAAGAAGGGAGCATTAAGCATTTTGACCTTGGCCGAGTGACCTTAGTTGGGAGGCTTCTGAGCATTATAGGATCATAGATTTAGGATTGGAAATTGACTAGTCCAACTAATAGACAATGGGTGAGGGGGAGGAGCCTTCAAGCAAAGAGATAATCTGACCTCCTACTTCCTAACCCCAATCCTGGACCCCTTTTTGTCTTTTTCTGTTGACACCCCCATTCAGCTTGGTGAGTGAATAAGGATGAAGACAGAATCATAGAATCTTGAAGCCAAAAGGGATCACAAAGGTCAACTGGACCAACCCACACTGGAACAGGAATCTCTTCTATGACATGCCCAACAAGTGGCCATCTAGCCTCTACTTCAAGGTCTTGGACTCACTACTTGCTGATGGAGTCTGTTCCTTTTTTGGATAGCTCTAATTGTGGTATAGCATCCACTCTGAGAGCTATTCCCCCAACATGCACTTGAACTTGTGGGTTAGGTCCTCAGAGAATGGCTGCTATGTTGATTTCTAGAGATAATGCTCTGAGACTGTAACACTATAAACCAAAAGCCCCTAACAGTGTGCTTCTAATTAACAATCAGCCAGTAGATACAATGAGCTCTTAATGGCATTCACTAAGATTGCATAATCAGAACAAATAGGTTAACATTCTTTCCATAATTCTGGAACATATTTTTTTTTTTAATCTACACTCAGTCTTCCTGTCTACAGCTATATCTTTAAGTCACAAGTCATGCAGCCTCTGGAAAACTACCTTGTATATTTGTGAGAGAATGAGAGTGTAAAAGGCAAGTAACAATTTAGCATTATTATGAAAACAATTTTGACCTCAAGGACCCCCTGAAAGGATCTTGGGAACTTCCAAGGGTTCATAGACCCGTGGAACATATTTTTCCATTAATATAGCATCCATGGGAATGGGCTCATATAGAGAATTCAGTGTAGAGAACACTAGTGACCAAGGCAACTCATAGTTCTTGGTATTACAGAGCCCAAAAGGCCTTTCTTCATGGAGCCCTCATGCAGCAACCCTTGGGCTCAGTGTCTCTTCTGGGTAGATTACTCAGCTGGGCTCCCAGTGTCTGTTCCTGTCTATAGCTTGATTCTTGATTGTCAGGACCAGCTCTCTCTTGATTCCATAATCTCTGCTGCCAGCTTCAAGGAATAGCTGAAGCTGCTTCTTTTCTTGAGTTATTGCTTTTCTGCGTCTGTGTGGAGTACGCCTTTGTTCTGTGCCTCATACTCATGACTAGGATGTCTCCCTCACTTTCATAGCTAAAGATTATTGTTGTTGTTCATCCTTTCTCGAAGAGGACCAATGACATCATGGGGATGATGACTTGAAAGTGAATTGGATTTAAGTGAGGGAGCTGTGCAAAGTCATCAGCCTCACTTTCTCCTCCAAAGTCATCGGAGTCCAGCGGACTCCGGACAACTGGTGATGGCCCTCATGGCTAAAGAAGGAGAGAGAGAATTCTTACTCTGCAGGAGTCTCATTCTCTAACCAATCTAAGCTTTGTCTCCCTGGAAGTCCCAACTGACTATTTTGTACAGGTCATCTTTGGGCCAGTCCATCAGTCAATCAGTGGGATTGACTGTTGATTCACTTAGGTGTGCAGACTTTATAAAGGGATCGGTAGTTAGAGGTGTCTTTAGAGTTGCTTTATCACAGAATTTGAGAAATGGAAGGGGCTCAGTATCCATCTAGTCCAACTTCTATAAGAAAGGAAGCCCCACCATAACATACCCAACAAGTGGTCATCCACCCTTCACTTGAGGACTCCAAGGAGGGGAAGCCCATTACCTCCCTAGGCTGCCCATTCCACTTTTGGAAAGTTCTCGTTGTTAAGAAGTGGAACCCTTCATTAACACTTTGATTATACTGTAGTCTAGGGGGGAAAGGGTTGGTCAAAGACCAATTCCCCTACACTTAAGATGGTTTTTTTCCTTCTTATATCAAGCCAAAATTCTTCAATTTCTACTCATTGCTCATAGTTCTGCCCTATGGGGTCCAAACAGAACAAATCTGTCACCTCTGGTTTATGACAGCCCTTCAAATACTTGAAAAAAGCCAACTTGTTCCCCCTAATTTTTCTGTTCTCCAAGCTAAAAGTCCCAGTTCCTTTAATGGATCCCCATATGATTAGTCTCTAGTTCTCTTACTGTCCTGGTTCACCTTCTCTGGGCTGGCAATACTTTGTCAATGTCTTTCCTTCTTTGCAAAGACTGGAGCCAAGCACAATACAATACTCAAGTGTGATCTGACTGAGACAGAGGACAGTGCCTTCTTATTATATGTATTTACATATGTATATATAATATTTTGTATTATATGTATATATTATCAGTATAGCCTTCTTTATATTCTTAATTGTTCATCTCAGTCATGCCCAACTCTTTGTGACCTCATTTAGGGTTTTCTTGGCAAAGATACTGGAGTGGTTTGCCATTTCCTTCTCCAGCAACTTTTATAGATGAGGAAACTGAGGCAGAGTTAAGTGACTTGCCCAGGGTCAGACAGCTAGTAAGTATCTGAGACCAGATTTGAACTCAAGAAAATGAGTCTTCCTGACTCCAGCCCTGGCACTCTATCCACTTCAACATCTGGCTGCCATATGCTTAATTGGATGCTTATGTAAGAAGGATTAATCAAGTGGAATCAATAGGATGAGCTTACGTAATTTATGTGAGCCTTTGGAGCATCTGATGAGCACTGTCCCATGAAAAACATGGGCATGTTCATTGATGTTTTGTTGAGAAAATATTTGGGGAGGTGCCTGTCAGATACTCCAAAGGGTAGCTACCCTGTAAATTCATCATGTTGATTGGGGCTGTTGTCAAATTGTTCAGGGAACTCCTCTGATCAACCCCTTTCTCCCCTCAAAGTTATGGGTGATCTGATTGGTATGCATGCTTCCTTCAGGTCTCTACCAGTACAGAGAGAAACTCTTCCACTCCTTGAATGCTGGATGATTCATAGGTTCATGGGTTGGAAAAACTCTGAAGGCCATGGAGCCCAGCCCCCTTATTTTACAGATGAGGAAAGGGAATTTGACAACAGTTAAGTGTCTTCCCCAGGATCACATAGTAAATGGCAAAGGTAAGATCTGAATCTAGGTCTTCCTGATTCCAAGTCCAATGTTCTATCTCCTACTATGATATTATTCTCCCCCCACCCAATCTTCCAAAGAAGATTCATCCAGCTGAAGCAGTTTTCCTTTACTATAATATTCAGGGGGCAGCTAAGTGGCAAAGTAGATAGAGCACCAGTCCTAGAGTCAGGAGGACCTGAGTTCAAATTTGGCCTCAGACACTTATTAGCTGTGTGGCCCTGGACAAGTCACTTAACCCTGATTGCCTCCAAAAAAAATACTGTAACACTTAGGACACAATCCTTCATTAATGCAACCTAAATCTCCTTTAGCTTCTTTGGTTGTTGATTAACCCAGCTGACTCATCATATTAAACCTGCTGTCCACATAGGCCTTTTTCTCATGGACTATTATCTAGTCACATTTCCCAATCCTGTATTCATTCAGTTGGGTTGTTTTTTTTTTTTTTTTTAATTCAAGTAGGACTTTACATTTATCTGTCTTAAATTTCACATTGTTCAGTTTCAGCCCCTGGTTCTAGCCTTTTGAGATATTTTTGGATCTGATTCTCTTATCTAACATATCCCTCCCAGGTTAGTGCTGTCCAAACATTTGACGAGCTTGCCCTGGGGAAGGAAGGATTCGTGTATGGGAGGGCTAATTTCAAATAAAACCGGAGGCTCCATTGTATCTTTTTTCCACATATGAGTTCACAGAGCTCAGAGCCCCTTCCTGAGGAAACGGAGGCTCAGAAAGGTTAAGGAGTAATTACAGAACTAATCAACTACAGTTGGTATTTGAACACAGGTCTTCTGGTATTTCATCAGGCAGCTAGGGGACACAGTGGATAGAGCATCAGGCCTGGAGTTAGGACCTGATTCCAAATCTGACTTCAGATACTAGCTTTGTGACCCTGGGCAAGTCACTTCACCATGATTGCCTCAGTTTCCTCATCTGTAAAATGAGCTGGAGAAGAAAATGGCAAATCACTCCAGTATCTTTGCTAAGAAAACCTCAAACGGGATTACTAAGAGACACAGCTGAGTAAAACAACAACAAACTTCTGGTAGTTTGTTGGCCTCTAGTACTCTGTTGGTTTTCTTAACATCCAAGAGGGACCCTGCATTGAAAGTCAAGAGGAAGAAATACAAGGCTTCACAGAATCCGGATCTATTGAGCTGGAGATGTCCTGAAGGAGCTTATATTCTAATGGAGGAAAGATGACGCATAAAAGGGATACATTGTACATCAATCCCGTATTTCTAGGCGAGGCCCCAGTGAAGGCCAGGTCTGTGGAAAATTTCAGAAGGAGAAACTTCCATGCTGCTCCTTGTATCTCAGGCGGCGGGGCCTGGCACGATCGTGAAAACGCACCTGCCGACCCCTCCCCTTGGATACCGCCTTGTGATACCACCTGTGACCACGAGGGGGCACCTAATTGCCTTTTCCTTGAAAGAGTCAGGGTGACCCTGAAGAGTGACGTCGGGAGTGGGAAGGAGAAACCTACACGTAGCAGATACTGGGCTGTATGTGTATATGGGAGGGGGAGGGGGAAGAGGGAAGCGTAGGCGTACGTGCATATTATGTAATGGGGTAAGGATTCCCTTCACCCCCAAAGCAAAAGCCTAAAGTGGAGGGGGATGAGATCTCCAAGCGCTTAGAGGAGGTATTGGGTTTTAAGGCCTTAAAGGTTTTCTGCTCGGGGTGGGCTTTTCTTAGCCAGAAAATCAAATGTTGCATAGCATTTTCATCTTCCCGAGTTCCCAAGGGAGCCAAAGCCCGAATCAATCAATTACTACCACTTGCAGGCCTCCTTTCTTGCAAACGTGCGGCTGAGTCACTCTCAGCCTGGAAAACCTCCCTTGGGCCTGCAGGCATGAGCGCCGGGCTAGAGAGGGGCCTCCCACGTCCCACCCCAGGGAGGGAGACACGGGGAATCCGGAGATGATGGGGTTCCCAAGAGCGCAGGAGGATGAGTCTCATCCCCGGGGACTCGGGGTAACCTGTTCCCAAGGCTGGGAAGGTTGAACTTGAAAGCTGGGGAGGGGGCAGGTCAATGGGTTGGGCTACTGGGAGGGAAGGGTTAACAGCTCCAGCCTAGGGGGCGGGATCGCAGAGGGAGCTCGGTCAAAACAGCAGACTGACCTTGGCCTGAAAGGGTTAAGAGGGCGGGCGCCCCGGGAAGCCACGTGCCGAGACGTCTTCTCATTAGTCCGGCCGGAGTTGTTTGTGTGCGATGATTGGAGGCGGCTGGGGGTAGGGAGAGATGATTGGCTGGGGGAGCGTAGGCCGCTAAAGCCGTGTTGAAGGGGGAGGGGAGGAAGGAGCGGGCTAGGTGGCTGGCTTGGGCTTCGGGAGCCGGAGCTGAGCGAAGCTGGGCCCCGAAACGGGGCCGCCGCCGTCGCTGCCGCTGTCGCCACCGCCCCTGCTACAGTCGCCGCCGCCATGCGTTGGGTCCGGGCCCTGCTAAAGAACGCGTCCCTGGCCGGGGCGCCCAAGTACATCGAGCACTTCAGCAAGTTTTCCCCGTCCCCGCTGTCCATGAAGCAGTTTCTGGACTTTGGTGTGTAGGACTTTGGGCAGGGAGGGGGCGCAGGGGCTGCAGGCCGGGCAGAGGCGATGGGGAGGCCGGTGAGAGCTTGCAGCCTGGCAAGGGTTAATGGAGAGTCAGGGGTGCTCCGGGATGGCAAGGGTTAGTTGAGAGTCAAGGGATTTCCAGGCTGGGAAGGGTTAAGGAAAGTCAAGGGGATTAGTTGAGAGTCAAGGGATTTCCAGGCTGGGAAGGGTTAAAGGGACAGTCAAGAGGGTTCCAGACTAGCAAGGGTTAGTGAGAGAGTCCAGGGGTCCCGGTTGGGAAGGACTATCAGAGAGTCAAGGGGGCTTCAGGCTGGAAGGAGTTAATGGAGAGTCAAGGGGGCTTCTGCCTGGGAAGGGTTAATAGAGAGTCACAGGTCTCTCGGATGTGAAGGATAAGTGGATAGTCAAGGGCTCCAGTCTGGGCAAGGTTAATGGAGAGTCCAGGGCTCTAGGCTGGCAAGGGTTAATGGAAAATCAAGGAGACTGCAGGTTGGCAAGGGTTAATGGAGAGAGAGAGAGGCAGGGGAACCCTGGCAGTGAGGGGTTAAAGCAGAAGGGAAGAGTTGGGCTCTAGTCTGGGAGGAGTTAATGGAAAGGCTGGAGAGGGAGAAGGCTCAGGGCTTGAGTCTGAGAAGGATAAATAGAGAAACCAGGAAAGTAGGAGTCCAACCTAGAAAGGTTTAAGGAGGAGACAGAGAGGAAGTGTTACTGGTGAAGAACTCCAGACCAGGGGTAGTTTATGGGGAAATCTGGAGAAGGTGAAAGCAGGATAATCTAATGAGAGGTCTGTGAGTAGGGAGCTAGGAGGAGAAAGGTTGAAGAGAAGGGGAATTAGGACTTAAGAAGAGTTGGAGGTGAGGGGTGATGGTAGCAAGCAGGCCAGATTGATGAAGGGATTCTGAGTTGTAAAGGAGTTTCTTCTGGGAGAATGAAGGAGTGAGAGGGAGGGGTAGGCTGGTTAGAAGAGTTGGAGAAAGATTGGGGAGGGAGTCCAGATATTAAAGGATTATTTGTTGGGTAGGGGTGTTCCTACATGTGGTATTAAAGGTTAAGGTGGGATAGGGAACAAGGAGGAGGAGGAGATAGGAGGAAAAATGGGGAGAAGGGGACTGGGACAATAGGCAGGTAGAGCTGGGCATGGGGAGGGTCAATGATATGGCTTCTAATGGGGTAGTGGGGTGCCTAGGTCTTGTGCAGACAATGTTAGGAACACTATGAGGGGTAAAGATACAGATGTCTGTATACTTATGAGTAGAACAGGAGAGACTGCTGGGATATGGGACCTTAGAGGAGGAACCTGTCATGGAGGGGGGGTGATTAGAGGACTCCCACCAGCAACTTAGGGGCTAAGGGTGGGTATTGGATTGCATGGCCCACTCCCCTACCCCCACTGCTTTCAAAGGCTGCCAATCTAAACAAGGACATTTGAAGATCAAAGCCTCCCAAGCTTTTTTTGTGGGGCAGTGAAATATAACTTTGGACAGAAACATCTATTAGATTCCTTGAGGGGATAGGGTGAAGGAGGGGAAAGGAAACTACCTCTTGGTCTCCCACCCATCTTGTGGACCAGGATCACCTTGTACCAGTCCCCATGATGGTGGGTAGGCCAGTTAGAGGCTGTACTAACTGGGCTCATGAAATGGGTATTGTGTGTTCCCCGGGTCTATCCCTTGGGCACTTCTTTGGTAACAGCTAGGGGGTGGGGAGAGCGATCTCCTAGATCTTTTGTAGGGTTGGCGAGATAGTGCCTGGCTCTGGTTACAGTCTACATCACCTCCAGGGTGGGTGGGGAAAGTCGAGGAGGAAGAGGGCTGAGTACAAGGCTTGGCGAGGACCTGGACCCAAAGGGGGTGTGGTAGCTAGACACCTGCTTATGGGTCTTGATCCTTCTCTGCCATTCCTTTATCACCTTGTTTGGGTTTTGAGCTGCCTCCCAAGAGGAGAATCCCTTTGCCCATCCCTAGACAGTTCATCCCCAACCAAAGATCTGAGGATCCCAGCTCCCTGAGTATGAGGGATGACCTGGGGTCAGGGAAGGCAGGGGAGGATGGGATTCCAGTTCCCCCTTAGATAGGCCTTAGGACAGGTTGTCACTGTACATCTGGCCTCAGCAGGGAGAAGAACCTAAGCCAAAAGTGATGAATTTTAGATTTATCGCTGCAGAAATAGTGAAGCAGGAATAGCTGAGCAGTGTCATAGTATAGCAGAAAAGACCGCCCCCCCAAAAAATTAAGAAAAAAAAAGAAAGACCTTTCCCTGGTTTAGCAGTCAGAGGGTCTGGATCCATATCCTGCCTCTGAAACCGAAACCTGTGTGACATTGTACAAATCGCTTAACACCCTTGGGCCACAGTTTCCTCATCTGTAAAATTGGGAGACCTATAATCCTGTTTACTTCCTCTGACTTGCCTCTAATTTCTCCCTGCCCCAACTCAGCTTCCCTTGTTCAGGAAAGCCAATAGTCTAACCCAAGGGCCCTCTGAAGCTTGAGAATCTGAGCTCTTCTGCCTGGAACAAAGCCCTGAGATTAGAACCCTGTTCCATTTGATTTCTCTCCCCGTTTCATTCCCTGCTACCCAAATTAGTAGCTTGTGATGGAGAAGGAAAAAAAGGAGAAACTTGTTGATTATTGAGGTCTGGAGGGGTCTGGGTTAAGGTAGAATAGATGTAACTATGAAATGAGGCTGGGGAGTAGTTATAGAGATGAGTTGAATGGGTGGAGTTTAGGGAGGGAAGGGTAGGAACACTGGATTGGAAAGCAGGAGAACTGGGTTCTAGTCTAGACTTTGCCGCTAGCAGTGGGAATTGAGGTAAGTCTGTTCTGTTCCAGGGTCTTCTCAGTTTCCTTCTCTGTAAAATAAGGGGGTTGGATTAGATGGTCTCTAAGGGTCCTTCCATCTCAGGCAATCAATAGGTAGCTTAACAAGTGCTTACTAAGCATCTCACCAGTGCCTGGTACTGTGCTGGGGGTGGGACCACAAAGACAAGAAAGGAGCAATCCTTGCCCTCAGGGAGCTGGTGGGGGAAACAATGTGTACACATGGGACTCTAGGCAGAACAAATAAAAGTTCATTTCGGGGTGAGGCCCCAGCATCTGGGCTGAGCAGTCCTGGACTCTTATAGGAGGTAGAGCCTGAACTAAGCTCTCTTTCCATCCATCAGGTTCTAGCAATGCCTGTGAAAAAACTTCCTTCACCTTCCTGAGGCAGGAGCTGCCTGTGCGGCTGGCCAATATAATGAAGGAGATCAATTTGCTTCCAGACCGGGTACTGGGAACTCCATCCGTACAGCTGGTGCAGAGTTGGTAAGACACACTCTCTCTCCTGGTCCTCCTCTCAGTTCCCCAGAAATGCATGCGCACACACACATACACAGAAAGAGAGAGATAAAGAGGGAGAGAGAGACAGAGAGGGAGAAACACAGAGACAGAGAGAGGGTGAGAGAGAAAGAGGGAGAGAAAGAGAGAGACAGGGAGGGAGAGAGAGAGAAAGAGAGACAGACAGGGAGGAAGAGAGAAAGAAAGAGAGACAGACAGGGAGGGAGGGAGAGAGAGAGAGGAGAGACACAGAGAGAAAGGGAGAGAGAGAGATTAAAAGCAAGCACCTTCATTGTCCACAATGATGGGATCCAAGTTCTTCCAGCTGCTCTGGGAGGAATGGGAATAAATGGGGCTCTGAGAGGATAAGGTGCCTATCCATAGATCATGCAGCGCATCTCATCCCATGGAGCAAACAAGGCCATACTAGAAATAGAAATAGCACAATGTAGAAAACCCTGTTTTATTCAAGAACCCAGGCCTCAAGTGGGAAATCATTTATTTTGCAACCAAACCCCCTAGCCAGGCTAGTGTCGGTATTAACTGACTAACCTTAGAGAATTAGAGTACTCGGGCTGATTAGATGAAGAACAAACAAGGTTAACTTATTAACTAGAACTATCCTGATCTGAACCCTAGTAATTTAAACTGGGAGTTGAAAGACTTGGCATCTAGTTCTGCTTCTGTAAGAATAGGTAGAATTAATTAATATGCTATTAATATATCTAATATAGTCTATTAATAAATAGAATCTTTCTGATAGAGCTCAGAATTTGAAGTCATTGGGTCTGGTATTGCTACCCACCACTTGCATGACCTCTGACAAGTCGCTTCCTTTGTGCCTCAGTTTCCTCATCTGTAAAATGAATGGGCTAGACTAAGGGCCCTTCCAGCTCTGGAGCTGAATTAGTCTCACTAACTCAGCTGTGTGGCCTTGGAAACAGTTGATTCCACCCTCTGGGCCAGGATTTTGTTATCTTGAAATAAGGCGGTGGGTCTGCATTGGCCCTGAAGACTCTCTCCTAGTTCTGAGGTTCTGGTTGCTCTTTTTGTTTATGCTGGTAAAGCAATGCTAATGATGCCAATTTTCCATTTGTTCTTCCATTCAGTTTGTTATTTTTGTCACGGTGAGTTAACTATCATTTTCAGTGCAAAAATTTCCTTTCCACTGAATTCTATTCTTGGGGAGGAGCCCCCTCAACTAACCCTTCTGTTTACCAATGCGCTAATCAGGGTGTAATGCAAGTGAATATAGTGGACAGAACCCTGGATTTGGGAACCCAAGTACCAGATTCAAATCTAGGCCCTGCTTCCTGAGTAGCTTTGATCAAATCTTTCCCTTTCTGGACCTTCCAAGTGAAGTCTATAAACCTTTATTAAGCTTGTGGCTGAAGTGTGCCAGGCACCGTGCTAAGCAGATATTCTCCTGTTTTATCATCACATTGGGTACTGTTATGATCCTTATTTTACAGATAAGCAAACTAAGGCAGGCCAGAGGTTAAATGACTTGCCCAAGGCCACACAGCTAGTAAGTGTCTGAGGGCAGATTTGAGTTTAAGTCTTCCTGACTCTAGGCCCAGCATTCTATCCATTGCACCACCTACTGGCTTCCAACTTCTATATCTAGCTCCTGTGATCCATCATGCCCTAAAATTATTTGACTAAGCAACACTTTTGCCCTAGAAATACATTAATGGAATACATGAATGCTTTTCCCTAAGGCCTTGTACTAGAGAATGTTTCCTAGGATAAGGGAGGGAAGGGGATTTTGGAGCAAAATAAAAGGAATTAAAAGCCCATCTTTAGCTTTAAAATAAGTTTTATCAATGCCTTTTGATTTTACATCACAATCATTTTCAGATATTATATTTCCCTCACCTTCTTTCCCTACCCCCACTACACCTACCTTGTAAGCCTTCATTTGAGTAAAGCAGACTGAGCTCAGGTCATACTCCACACTCATCTGTCAGCCACCACCTCTCTACCAAAAGAAGAGGCACCCTTTCTCAGCCTCTCTCGGGGGCCAAGATTGGATGTTACTATTACTCTAATGTTCATGAGTACATATTTATACCCAATTGACCCATATAAAAGGCCATTTTGTACATACATAATTTCATATTTAGTGTATTTTTTTTGAACTGTGGCCGTGGTGGTTCCAATCTGTTCAGTGGTTTCCCATTGGCATGGGGAATTTCAGGTGTGGAAATGCTCTTCACCATTCTGTCACTTATAGTCTTAAAGAGTTGCCTTAACAAGACTCATGATGGAAAATGCTATCCACATCCAGAGAAAGAACTATGCAGTTTGAATGCAGATTGAAACATACTATTTTCTATCTCTTTTTCATTTGTTTCTTCTTTCTCCTGGTTTTTCCTTTTGGTTCTAATTCTTCTTTACAACTTGATATGTGGAAATATGTTTAATATGATTGTACATATATAACCTGTATCAGATTGAATGCCATCTTGGGGAGGAAGAGAAAATTTAGAACTCAAAATGTTATAGAAATGAATGTTGAAAACTAAAAAAAAGATAAAGTAAAAAAAAAAACCCAGAATAATTAAAAAAAAGAGTTGCATTAAGCACTAAGAGCTCCTCATAGCCAGGATGTGTCAAAGGCAGAAGCTGAACCCAGATCATTCAAGACTGACCATCCACTCTACCATATTGCCTCTCATTTAATATTATGTAGGGAAAAATAATGGTGACTGTGGAAATTTTCTCTCAGACCCTGTACCCAATATGGAGTAGGACATAAACATGGGAAAAACTGACTTCAACTATCAAAGAAAAACTGGCCAATAGAAATACATATTGTTAATTGGGTCCCCCCCTCCTTGCTAGACATTCTCTTCAGGAAAGACAGAGGGACTGACCAGGATGAATGGGCAGTGAAGGAATGAGGTGGGTGAGGTGTTGGGGGGCTGACCAGGATGAGTAGGCAGTGAAGGGGTGAGGTGCTCAGGAACTGTTGGGCAGAGAGCAGAGGATTCAGAAAGGAGCCAGAGCTGCCATATGCCAGATTTAGGGCATGCCCCAGGAAGGATTTTCTGAGTGTTAGGAATACATGGTTAGGGAATTGTCTCTTTAGGGACCTTTGAGAACTAAAGGCCTGGGATCACAGAGGCAGGGGCATGATGGACTGACCTGTAGAGAAGGAGCTTGGGTTTTACCTTAGTGGGGATGGAGAGCTTGGTCACCCAAATATCCCCTTTGCCTGTACCTTCCACCTCACCTAGAGAAAAGGAAAATCTTCCCTCTGGTTGATAGGATATCAGAACTTGCTTATAATTCAACTGGATTAACCCTGACTCCAAAGCTCTCTTCTAGATCTCAAAGCCCAGTATTTGCTATGTTTTACCTCCACAGGAAATGTGTAGGGAAAGAATGCTCTGGAGAGTTGGTGAGGGTTAGAAAGGAGGCAGGAGATGATACCATCTGTTCCTCCCCATTCTCCTCCACCTCCTGTCCACTTGACTGATCATGCTTTATCTCCTGCTGGCTTGTTGGCTCCTTTGATTGACCTCCCCACCCCCAACCTCCTCCCTGGACACCATGTTCTTGAGAGAGTGAAAAAGAGCTGAACTGAATGTAACTCCTCCCTACCCTTGAGCTTTGTGTAGATTCCTATACCAAAAAATGCCATGTGCTTGTTATTGGTGGCTGGGAAATTTGATTTGGCCCACGTTACCAACATCACAATGTGATAAATATGGTCCAGAAGCCCTAGATTTGTCATTAGATTAGATTTATATCCTGGCTCAGGTACTCACTAGCTGTGTTACCTTGGACAAGTCATTTTATCCTCTACCCCTCCTTCTTTCCTTCCTGGTGTATAAAATAGGGATAATAATGCATTCATCTGTTGCCTCCTTCTCTCAGGGGTATTGTGAAGAAAGCACCAGGTAACCTTTAGTGTGCTAGAGAAACATGAGCTAGTGTTATTATCTTGCTCATTTTACTCCCCAAACCTTCTTGTCATGGTGTAGTGAGAAGGCAACAGTGGCTTCTAAAAGGTGTATGAGTGAGAACAAGATTTGATAAACTGGAGAGGTTCCATGTGTGGGCTTTTCTGCAGATTCCGTCTGTCTTCCACAGATCAGCCCAGTTAAGTGTGGGAAGCCCATCATTGGAGGGTTGCTAAGTTAGCTCCTTAAACCTTCTCCTTCAAATGATCTGTTCAGTGGAAAGAATACCCATAGCAGTAAATCTGGGCCCTTGAAGTATTAATGTTTAATCCTCTAAAGCATACCTTGTGTAAGCCTCGTTGGAGGGAGTGAAGAGAAGGCATTTCATCAGCAAGGTAGATTTAGCTTGGTTGTGATTCAGCGGTAATAACAGTACCTCACATTTGTTTAGCACTTTAGGGTTTACAAAACCCCCTTTTTCCCCACCACTCCTGTGAAGGGTGACAGATAAGCATCGCCAGAACCTTGGAGGCGGCTCCATAGAAGACACCCACTTCACAGGAGGGAAAGAGTGGAAGCTGCAACAGAAAGGACTAAGGTTAGAAAGGAAGAAGGTTAAAGGGACTTTGTGACAGGAAGGGCTGACTGAGAGATTGGGGCATCTCCTTTTCTGAAGCCTCTTAGATGAAAAATTCGAGCTTCTCTTCTAGCTGACATAACTTAGTTGGAGGTGGTCTGAGTGGAGGTGGGGGTGGATAAGGCAGCCTTGGAAGGTGCCTGTCAGCCCATGAATCTGACAAGTCAGGCGTTAAAACTGAGTAAAAAGTCAGGAAACCATAAAATGCTGAAGAAATGTAAGGTCACATTTATAGCATTGGTGGCTAATTCTTGGGGCCGTTCTCAGAGTTAATAATTATAGCTGCTAACAGGGAAAGATGGGGAGGGGCAGGGGGTGTGTGGGAGAGAGAGAGATTGAGAGAAGAGGAGGAGGAAAAGGAGGAGAGAGTGCTTTAAGATTTGCAAAACAATTTACATGCATTTTCTGAGCCTAAGTAAACAATGTATAGAGTATTACAT